ATTTAAAGAAATTGGAATGTTTTCAGACCAATTCACAATGCAAATCCATGAAGTGAATAAAACATGATTTGGCCAAATAATGTTCTTTTAAATATTTTGCTTAATCACAAACCAATAATCTTTAGTTAATAATCCTCTACCCTCTGAAATAGCCAGCAACGAATAGACATCAGGATTCCACTAAATGATTCTTGGTCATACTTGGTAATGGAAATGTAATAAGCATATGAGGAACACATGAACACTAATGTTATATCAGTGTTTAAGCCCTTAGTAAAATAAAGCTTGTTAACATTCAACAACAGCTCAGAACATATTCCGTTAGCATAGCGTAGCATGGGAGCCATCCCGTTAGCATCGTCACGTGTAGCAACACATGAAATGTTTAACATCATCAAAAGACATGTTGTTTGTTCTGTCCCTAATTTTGCCATTATACCTTTTTGTCTATATCCATTTGGTAGGTTAAGTTTCCATCCAGCTGGAGTTTAGCAGGCAGGCCACAGCAGGGCAGGCTCTCTCTCTGTCCCACTGGCACACAGCAGAGGTCCTCTTTGTCTCAGTCGTTCATCAAGATAGGGTAGGCCTTCTCTCTAGTTTGGCTCTATAAGTTCTGAAACTCAAGAGAAAAAGGGTCTGTTTTGCAGCAGTTTGGTTACCACAATGACCCATCCTTGATGATTCTAGAGATCTGGGTCCCCCCTGAGCCTTGGTTCCCAGCTTGATGGGCAAGGGAGAGCAGGCACAGAAAAAGAGATCCTGTGTCCTCCACTGCATGAAAAGTGAGATTTTCGTCTCCGTAAACTCCCGCAGATCTCCCTGATTTTCGTCAGTTTCCGACAATTTGCAACCCGCGCTTGTCCGCGTTTGTCGTGCCACAAATTGTCGGAAACGGACTCTGACGTATGTGGAGAGCGATCAGCTGTACTAATGGCCCTAATTAGCATATGAATGCTGCAAACCTGCGCGGCTGGCCAGGTCTGGCTTGAATAACCTACTCAGTATTGGCTGAAACCACTATTCTCATACAAGTGAAATCGCTCGTGATTGGCAGCAAAACCACACGTGGCCACGCCAGGCCTTATTTTTCTTACTGAGTATTGGACGGAACCACTTCTTTTTAAACAAGTAAAGTCGCTGGTGATTGGTTGGCATATATATATATTTACATATACATTTACATATATATATATATATTTATTCATTCATATATTTATTCATTCATATATTTATTCATTCATATGTTGTGTATTTATGTTATCCTACACTACTACACAATTATTAGGCTACCATCAAGGACGTGAATGAATTTATACAGGAAATGAACATTTGCCAGGAAGCTGTTTATGCAAAGAAAGAGCTTTATTAAAACACACACAACTATATACAACGCGTATCCAAACACATGTGTATCTAAAAATTACAAGTCCGTGAACGGTCCGTTTGCTTCCTCGGGGTTGGAGGTAACTGGCAGCATTCCCTCCGAGGCAGGTCCGATGTGCAGACGCCTACTGTGCGTGGCCCTGTACTTCGGCATCGCTTCTAACCGGGACTGCAGCTTAACACATAGTTCAGTGAGATCCGGCCTACGAAATGGCGGCGACCGTACAATCCATCCAGAGACACATCCGACGACGCCATCTTCTTCGTCGGACATGAGGTCGACGGTGGCGGACTTCCAGAGTTCCACTTCCTCATCTGCTAGCACACTCTGCCTCGCTTTCAGCAGCTGAAAAAAAAAAACAATGAATCAGCGCACTGCGTATGGATACAACACATCTATCAATGCACCTGAAAAATAGTCACCAAATAAAGTCTTACCCTCTTTCTTCTAGCCCGACTCCGAGCAGATTGCTTGGCAGCCTCTGCACGCAACATGTTTGCTGGCTGCGTATATCTGAAGCTCCTGCGTACCGTCTCAAAATACATCTTACAGGCAGCTGAAAAACAATTAAATGAGAGTGGTATGAATAAAAAATCAAACGCAAGTCACAGTAACAAGGAAGGAGAAAACATTAAAACAAGTCACTTACACATAATGTCGTCTTTATCAACATCATGCAAATCTGGACTTGCTGATATGGCTCCGAGCAAATAGGAGGTCTGTGAAAACAAAATGTACAGCTATGATCGGTATCTATCCGTATCCATTTCCTTTTACCGCAGAATGAAAGCATATTCTTTAAATCTTACCCTTGCTCCGGTTCATAGCGCCTGCAATTAGTCTCCGAGTTGTGAAGACGGCATACTGCTTCCTGTGAATCACAAAAAATACACTTTAATAAAGCTTGTTCTTGCAAGGCTACTATTAGCCGTAGCTTTAGGCTAGGCTGTTATTAGCCATAGCTTTCGGCTAGGCTGCTATTAGCCGTAGCTTTAGGCTAGGCTGCTATTAGCCGTAGCTTAGGCTAGGCTGCTTTTAGCTTAGCAGGCAGTAATCGAACATATATTTACCGCTAGCATCTCTTCTTTGAGTTCGTGTTGTTCGACTGCAGAGTCGCCATCGTTTTACCCCGAAATCCCAAGTACATCCCGCTGCAGCCTGCGGGAAGGCAGAAATCCCACATACTCCGCTCCAGACCGCCTGCACAAAGCAAAGCATACATCCTCCGATGTGGCTCCAGACGCTCCGCCCTGAGTTTCTTGGAGATCGTAGAGAGCATGCGCGCGATGAACCAGGGTTTCCGCGGATCATTAAAAATAATTACAATTCATTCATTTATTTATTTTTTTATCAAGGCCTTAATTGCCACTAAAATTATTTAAATATGTTTATCGAAGTATTTATAATTCTTTAATAAAAAATGCTTATAAAAACAATTTCGTCAGATATATTATATCGCTATTAATTTGCGTGGAACTGATCATAAAGCCGTATGTTCGGAAAGGAAGCTCCAGGTGGAGAAAAAGCTAGAGGATATATATATACGTATATGTGTGTGTGTGTTTACATACATACAGGAGTCATGGATCTGTGCTTACAGCTCCTTCATATTTCATGTACACTAATAACTTGTGTACATGGTTCTTGTTGATGGCATTAAAATCATTTCTAATAGCATTAAAATAGCATTAAATTAGAGTCACTCATTCCTGTATGAACCCTGCCCATAGGAAAGCAAAATCCAAGAAGAGATCTCGTTGTTGTTTCTTTCATTTCTCCTAGACACAAATGGGCTATTTTTGATACTAAGGTGAGACCAAATGTTTTTTCTCCTGCTTCTCAAATTCAACTCAGGAGAAACAATCACATATAATCTCATGTTTGATCAAAACAAGAGATCTCTATATGATCTGAAATATGTCTAATTTCAGCCTCCTAAACATGAGACCATGAGATCAAAGAAAGAACTCAAAGAAAACTCAGCTATGACTCCCAAGATCTCATTATTCTTCTCAAATATGTCTCAGTTTTCTCATAGTGACCTCAGAATAAACAACCAGAGTGTGTCTTACTCTGATCAAAAGAAGAGATCTCTAAATGATATTAAATAAGTCTCATTTAAGTTTCCCGAACATGGATAAGAGAAGCTAAATGAAATCTCATAAATAGAGTTACTTGCATGAGTATTTTGATTTTACTGGACATACTACATTTCAAATTCTGCATTGTAATTATTGTATTATATTACTGTAAGTTCATTACCTTGTAACTTACAAGAAAACAAGACAGAAAATAATGCACTTTTAAATTCCAAGTTTTCAGATTTATTAATAAAATAATAAAAGTCAACATAACTAGACAACCAACCGTTTCAGTATTATCTTTAGAGATTAATGCAAATTCATTAAGGATGCATGTCAGTACTGTACAGAAATCATACAGAAAAAAGAAAAAAAAATGTGGTTAAGAAACATGAATCCTCAGTGCACATACAGTGAGAATGAACTATATTTCAAATAATTTGTAAGTAAGGTAGTAATAATGGAAATAAAATATTCACTGGGCCAAAGACGAGAGCGGGCTGGGTCGGGCGTCCAGAGCAGCTGATTGGAGGTTTGAATTTCAAACTGACACTTTGAGCGGGACCGTCCAGTCTGGACCAATTAGGTCTGCAGTCTCTGAAGGGGCACCTGTTGACATTGTGCAGTGGAAGTTGTCTGGAGTGAAGGTAAGTTGGTAACTGGGGTTGGGTGCTGCTGTCTGTGTTCAGAGCATTTTCAGTCCATGTTTTTTCCTCGCTTTCCCGCTGCTTTCTTCTTGGTCCCACCTCTTGGTGAAATATCATTGGATCTGGTCCTGTGGGACATAATATTATTTTGGATCACTACTCACTGTGTACAGAGTGGCTACTACAAGGAGGAGAGACACAGCAGCCCTCAGTGAATTATAACCAGCAGCTACTTCGATATATGTTTCAGTAAAAGTTAGGAGACGGGTTGGTTAAAAAAATTTTAGATGCAACCGAAAAAATCCGTTTTCCAGCTAAAAATGGCAACAGAGTTTACATTTATATAAGTTGAAAAAGCTGGGCTTCTCAGTGGACCATTACTAAGAGTTAAAAATTAAAATTAACACACATCTGTTATTTTCTCATTGAACAGAAAATCAGACTGCAGAGCTTCTACAGATCCTGAAAAAGATTTTCTCTGGCATCATTATATTGGTAGACAGGTTCATAAATCTGTTTTTAACAGGGCTGCCTGCACTGACGCGGCTCAGGGAGTACGTCACACGGAGCGTCGTGCGCAGTGAAATCAGGACATTTCCTCACTTTCTAAAAAAAAACCCGGGACGCCCGGGGCAGGACGTGAAATACGGATATGTCCCGGGAAATACGGACGTTTGGTCACCCTAGGATTATCATCTGCAGGATGTTATGTGGTTTTAATCAAAGGTCTGTTTTAACAGTCTTATTAATAAAGTTTTTACGGATGTATCCAAACATTTTAGCTATGTAAATGTTTACAACAATTATTTATACATCACTGATGACATTATTTTTCCATTGGTTCAGAAGTTTATTGTAATAAAAAAAAAAATTTCTCATGTTCTCTAGATCCAGATAATGGTAATCATTTCTGCGGCTATAAAACAAAGTATAAACCGCAGGATGAGGGGAAATGGAGAGATTGGGAGTGCAACAAGAAATATATCGTCATATGTTATGATGAGTATCTTGTTCTGGTGAAGGAGAATAAGACATGGGAGGAGGCATTAGAACACTGCAGAGCTCTTGACAGTGTAAACAGATTTAACCTGGCCACCCTGCTCACTGAACATGACCTCAGCTATGCACAAGAGCTAGCCCAAAATGCTACTACTGATGAGGTGGGCTGTTTTTCTCTGATGCAATTCTGTTGTTGACTAGTTGATTTTGTGTGTTAATCTCTCTGCTTTACCTTCATAGATTTGGACAGGACTACGTTACCTAGGTGATGAGTGGTTCTGGGTGGGTGGAGAATCTATGCTGGACGCCCAGAACCCTGGTAGATGCCCAGTTAACAGGTGTGGCGTTCTGGACAAGAACGGGACATCCTTTAGGACCGGAGACTGCAGCCAGAAAAGAAACTTTTTCTGTTACTATTAATCTCAAACTACTTCAAGTTAACAATATTTTCTTTAAAACCTAGAAATTATTAATCGTGCAAAGCAACTTTTATAGATAACATTTCTTAAATTTAAATCTTCTCACTTTTTTCAGTAGAAAATCTTGAAAATTCAGAGTTACTCCCTTCAAACATTTCTATATAAATCACTGTCATAACAAACTTTAGTACCTTCCCAAAGTAGCACCCTGAAATTTAATTTGAAAATTATTTTTCAATTATCTTTGCTTGACGACTGAATAGCTGGTCTAATCTGTTGAGGTTTCCTGTTCATTACTCATATTTCCAATGAACCAAACTTCTTTTGTTAGATAGCATTGCTAATTTTTATAGCTACTTTCCAGTTATCCAAAAACTTCTTCTGTTTCCACAGTGGTGCTCACACACACAAGAACTCGCTCTCATTGCCCCCAAGTGGACAGCAGCAGTACAACATGCGCATAAACAGAAAGTGACAGGGTACAGAACTTGTAACGTAAATTAGAGAGACATAAACACAAAACATTAAATAACTGAGATGAGTTAAAATGAGAACATATTCTAACATTATCTGATCCTAATCTGTACAGCTCAATGGGAATAATGAATTTCTTCTCGTAAGAAAAAATATTACAGGGTTGAGATGAAACAAGATTTTTTTTATATATTTTTTTAGATAAAATAATCCCTGCTTTTTCTTGTCCTAAAAAGGGTTTAACAATTTGCCCTGATAGTTTAAAAGACTCAGTCATCTCTGTAGCTGTCTAACAACCAACTAACTTTCATTAATGCAGCTCCATGTGGAGCTTTGAACAGAGCTGTACTCGAAACCCTTTTTCTAAAGCATGACTCATGCAGTTCAAGTTTAAAAATAAGACAGGGCTTAAACCTGTCACAGTGTGGGAGCTCAATATGTTAGAAACTCCTGTCAAAATGTGGGATGACAGATGCCTGAGACCGGTACCATGAAGATGGATTAATTCTTAACGATGATAGTAGCCATGGTAACTTCGGGGAAAAAATCACATGCCTGTTCATTGAAGACCTGATTTAGTTCAAAGGGGAAAATTACTTAGAAAAAAAACAACATAACAAGAAAAGATTTTGACAGCCAAAAAGCAGTTTAAACACAATATTTTCTTGACAAATTTAATAGTTTTTAATTTATTTCTTTTTCGTCCTTTTTGACATATCAACCTTTTACTATTCTGTATTTTTTTTCTTTCCATTATAGATCTCATAAACCACTGGCATTCTCTTGTTTCTTGTATAATTGTTGTGGCTTCAGCTTCTAGCTTTGTGGTAACCCAGACATTATTGAATTAAAAAGTAAATTTAACTAGATGAAATTATGTTTCTGTGTTTTATTTTATTACTGTGTTTATATTTGCTATATCTGTCTATAAATCTAGAGGAAACTGATCCCTTACATAGATTACAGATATGTCTTGAAGACATAAAAACCTGGATTACTCTTAAGTAAGAGTCTTTGGATCAGAATCTCTGAAAAAGAAACTGAATAGTCAGTCACTTCATTTGGATGGGGTTAAATAAATTTCAGATTATAAAGGAAACATTTTTTGTGTTATTTTTGATTCTGGACCTGTCATTTAAATCTCAAATCAAACAGGTATCTACAATTCCCTTCTTTTATCTGCACAATATTGCAAAAATTAGACACAAATGAATAAGTTATCCTGTTGAGCAGTGACGCTGAGAAACTAGTCCATGCATTTGTTACTTCAAGACTGGATATTGTAATTCTTTACTATCTACAGGTGCTGGTCATAAAATTAGAATATCATGAAAAAGTAGATTGATTTCAGTAATTCCATTTAAAAAGTGAAACTTGTATATTATATTCATACATTACATACAAACTCATATATTTCAGATGTTTATTTTGTTTAATTTTGATGATTACAAATGACAACAAATGAAAATCTCAAATTCATCATATCAGAAAATTAGAATATTACTGAAGACCAATAAAAACAAAGGATTTATAGAAATGTTGGCCAACTGAAAAGTATGAACATGAAAAGTATGAGCATGTACAGCACTCAGTATTTAGTTGGGCCTCCTTTGGCCTGTATTACTGCAGCAATGCGGCGTGGCATGGAGTCGATCAGTCTGTGGCACTGCTCAGGTGTTATGATAGCCCAGGTTGCTCTAATAGTGGCTTTTAGCTCTTCTGAATTGTTGGGTCTGGTGTATTGCATCTTCTTCTTCACAATACCCCATAGATTTTCTATGGGGTTAAGGTCAGGAGAGTTTGCTGGCCAATTAAGAACAGGGATACCATGGTCCTTCAACCAGGTACTGGTAGCTTTGGCACTGTGTGCAGGTGCCAAGTCCTGTTGGAAAATGAAATCTGCATCTCCAAAAAGTTGGTCAGCTGCAGGAAGCATGAAGTGCTCTAAAACTTCCTGGTATGTGGCTGCGTTGACCCTGGACCTCAGAAAACACAATGGACCAACACCAGCAGATGACATGGCACCCCAAACCATCACTGACTGTGGAAACTTTACACTGGACTTCAAGCAACGTGGTGGAAGTGCCTCTCTTCTTTTCCTCCAGACTCTGGGACCTTGATTTCCAAAGGAAATGCAAAATTTACTTTCATCAGAGAACATGACTTTGGACCACTCACCAGCAGTCCAGTCCTGTTTCTCTTTAGCCCAGGCAAGACGCTTCTGACGCTGTCTGTGGTTCAAGAGTGGCTTGACACAAGGAATGCGACAGCAGAAACCCATGTCTTTCATACGTCTGTGTGTGGTGGTTCTTGAAGCACTCACTCCAGCTGCAGTCCACTCTTTCTGAATCTCCCCCACATTTTTGAATGGGTTTTGTTTCACAATCCTCTCCAGGGTGCGGTTATCTCTCTTGCTTGTACACTTTTTTCGACCACATCTTTTCCTTCCCTTCGCCTCTCTATTAATGTGCTTGGACACTGAGCTCTGTGAACAGCCAGCCTCTTTAGCGATGACCTTTTGTGTCTTGCCCTCCTTGTGCAAGGTGTCGATGGTCGTCTTTTGGACAACTGTCAAGTCAGCAGTCTTCCCCATGATTGTGTAGCCTATAGAACTAGACTAAAAGACCATTTAAAGGCTTTTGCAGGTGGTTTGAGTTAATTAGCTGATTAGAGTGTGGCACCAGGGGCCATCAATTTTGAACCTTTTCACAATATTCTAATTTTCTGATATGATGAATTTGAGATTTTCATTTGTTGTCATTTGTAATCATCAAAATTAAACAAAATAAACATCTGAAATATATGAGTTTGTATGTAATGTATGAATATAATATACAAGTTTCACTTTTTAAATGGAATTACTGAAATCAATCTACTTTTTCATGATATTCTAATTTTATGACCAGCACCTGTAGAAGTCCACAAAGTGTAGTAAAAAGCCTTCAGCATTAAGAGTTCTGATGAAAATTAAAAAGAGAGATCATATCTCTCCTATCCTAACTTTTATTCAGTGGCTTCCTGTTAAATCAAGAATAGAATTTAAATTCTATTCTTTTTTTATTCTTGATTCTCATTCTCACATATAAAGCCTTAAATGGCCAAGCTCCATCTTATATCTGATTGTTCCTAACAGAGCACCTTGCTCTCAATCTGCAGGTTTACTAGTGGTTCCTAGAATTTCTAAAAATAGAATGGAAGGCAGATCTTTTAGTTATCAGACTCCTCTCCTGTGGAACCAACTACCAGTTTTAGTTTGTGAGGCAGACACCCTGTCTACTTTTAAGGCTAGGCTTAAAACGTTCCTTTTTGATAAAGCTTAAAGTTAGAGTGGCTCAGGTTATCCTGAGCTATCTCTTTAGTTATGCTGCTATAGCTTTAGACTTCTGGAGGACATAAGGACTCCTTTTTCATCATTCTGCATCATTGGATCTCCATTTTCCCATTCTGCAGAGTCTATTGGTTCAGTGTCTAACGTTATGCTCTCTCTGCTTTTTCTCATGGTAGCTTCACTTTGTCTGTTCCTGATTGGCTGTGAAACCATCCTGGAGAGAAATATCAGCTGTGCTGCTGCCATCAACACCTTTTTTTTATTGATGTTGGAGATCAGCCTGTTTTTCAGTGTAGTCCTGTTTCTCTGACTGACAGGCTGGATGTGCTCTCTTCATCCTCTTACATGGGAGCTGGCTGGGAGCTCATCTGCCTGGCTGTGTGTTTCCTAGATGGGGCTTTTACAGTTGCCTTTTGTATCTCTGCTTCTGTCTCCTTGAACCCCAGTCGGCCTCAGCAGATGGCCGCTCACCCTGAGCCTGGTTCTGCTGGAGGTTTCTTCCTGTAAAAGGGAGTTTTTCCTCTCCACTGTCGCTAGAAGCATGCTTGGTGTGAGGGATTGCCTTCACACCATTTCACTTTTCTTTCCCAGCTCATTGGCTAATTTGTATCACGTGCAGCCTGGTGCCGGACGCTTTGGAGGGCTTTACCCTGCAAACAGGAGGCACAAGTGAAATTAGACACTAGCGTCGGACAACGTCTGGTAATTTCTAAATGACACGGTTGATCCAGATTAGCCAGCAGGTGGGTCCGGATCCGGACCGCAGTGCGCTAATCCGTATTGTCTATTGTCTATTCAAGGATAAAACATCTATATTATTATTATGCTTAGTTTGGGCCTCTGTAAACATTTACTTAGCTAAAAGCATAGTCAGTAACTACCGCAGATGAGAAACACAAATGCACTGCAAATACATTAATGTGCAACAAAACCAAAATATATTGTGACAGCAAGTTATCTTTAGGTTCGTTTAGGGGCTGATAATTACTCTAGTTTTGTGTTAGTGACATTACCTAATAACTGTTTTAATAAAAACTCATTTTGAGGAGAAACTTAATCATGATGAGAGAAAATGCAATAAAATTGGACAAAATCTAGTACCTCATACAACAGCACGGTATCAAAACAATCATCATTGGGATTGCAATGGTCGCCATGTTTGCTGTGCTGTAAATGCCAGTTTGCCGCTGTCAATCAACCATGAGCCCTGCAGGTTCCGCTTTCCTCCAGGCATAGCTTCTGATGAGGGATTTTAAGATGTTATATATATATGGGATGGAAGTACAACTATGCAGTGAAGTAGGTTGTACCTTTAGTGTTTAGAGAAAAGGTTCAATGGTAAATTCCATTTTCTGTCATCATCCTTTTTTCAGTGGATCTGTTTATGGACTGGTGTAGAGAGACTCCCCCCTATGATCTGGAGCACTTCTGTTATGTGGTGCTTCTCTGTGTTTGGTGTATTTGTGCTTTAGTAACATTTGTGTGCTTCCAGCATGTTGTCACTTTGCCCTCTGTGGTTAGGATTTTTTTTCTTTTTTTTACTTTTCTATTGTCATTACACTGTCACAGGTACAGAGCAACGAAATTAACTCTGTATTTAACAAATCCCCTCGTGGAGCAGTGGGTTGCCATTGTGTGGCACCAGAATGTGTGGGACTAAAACTCACAACCTTCGAGACCCAAACGAAATGCTCTAACCACTAGGCCACCAATGAATTGACCTAATTTTAAGACTTATTTCAGTGTTATAATCAAGAAAGACTTATGGTTCTTTACCAAATTAGACTTTCTAAGAATAAGGCATTATAGATTTTCGATTTATCAGAGACAAATTTTCATAAAACAAGACCAAATATTTATTGATAAACATTTTACTGAAATAATGCAGTCACAGGCACTATGTCGAATGTGGAAATAAATCTATTGTGCCGGCCGAAGAAGAAAAAGAACCCTGATTTCTTGTCTGCTTCAGCAGAGCTGATGTTAGGAAGCTTGAGGGGAGAACTAATTCAGAGGAAAAAGTAAAATTATAGAAGCTATCAAGCATATATATGCTGTACAATTTCTAATGCCAGACAAGCTGGAAATATTACTCTCGAAAAAGGCAGTAGTGACTTAGACGATTTTATTGTTAAATCCCAAGGGTTTCCCCAGAAAAATAAATTTAGGCAGTTCATGTTTTGACCTTCTGCATTGTGTATCACCCCCTCCAATCATCTAAAAACACTCTAATCACCAATTAGGATGTGTTGGTTCTAAGCAGGTCGGCAGCACAAGCAGAACTCCCCACAGAGCCATGCTGGCTTTAGCACAACTCAGGCTGCGACTTCACTGCGCGACAGCGAAGAACCTTCAAGAAGCTGTCGATCTTGTGTGAGTCACGTCGAAGGCAGGACAAGAGGAAATTGAACTTGTTTAGTATGGTCACCCGGTCCTGACCTAGGTCAGTCCCTCCAGTGTACGGCAGAGGAGAGATGGCCTGAGCATCGGAACCCATCTAAAAATTGATGGAGACCATTAATGTACAAAATTAGGGCACTTAAAATAACAACAGGTGAGGAACTCATCTCTGCTTTGCCCACCTTGCCTGACAGTATATCCAGGCCATCCGCCAGGGTCCTTGAGTGCTCCATCAGCTCATTGATTTTACTCGATATGCTGCTTTTTGCTGGGTGAGGCAGTGTGACGGCATTGTTAGACAGGATCACCAGTGGATCAGCCCAGGCATGGAGCAGGGAGCGGGCCAGAGACATTAGAGCTGATTCCTGGAGAAGAAAACAAAATATTGAACAAGAAAAAAATTAAAAGGCTGTTTAAAGGACAGTCTAAATTAGTGAGGTTAGAAAAAGGGGACTAACTCACCGATGCTTGCAAAGTTTGCACTTTGTCATTGGGGGTTTGTAGTGCAGATGTGTGGCAATCAGCAGGGAAGAGAGAACCCTAGTGGCAGAAAAGGATTAATGGGACCATGACCAGGGGAAAATATCTTTCCAAACTAGCACACTCTATTTTCTCTCAGGCAAAACGACATCTGGTGATCTCACTGGTTTAAGCAAGTAGCATAAAGATCTCACCATCTCCTGTGTGAGCAGCGTGCTCAGTGAGTGCATTTTGTCTGAGCGCTGTGAGGCTCGGTCCAGCAGGTCATTGATTGTAACAGCTCTGCACATCACTATCAGGTACAGCACTGAGCAGGAGGCATGAAGAAGCAAGAGAGGAAACAGCTTTTCAGACACAGAGCTCTGAGTATGGTTTGATTTTTGGTACTTGTCAATACTTATCATTAAGTATGGGTCAAATACAAGTTTTAAAGTACACAACCATAAAAGAGAAACACATTTCAAGTCACAAAACTCTGTTGTCATATTATTCCTACAGTTTGTAGCCCTTTTAATAGAGGAGAGCTGAACTCCCCTGCCCACCTGTTTCTGTATATTTTTAGTCAACTAGCTGTATGAATGTTTTACACTAGAGAAAGAAGATTTTGACATGATACAACATTTTCTGATTCAGAAAAGCACATAGAGTAATAGTGTGGAAATAAAACTAAAGGCTGGTAACCCAGTCTTTAGTTTTGAAGATTAATTATGTTTTAAAATCATAGCTAGAAGGCCACCTACTGTACAGCAAAGTGCAGGCTGCAATCTCACTTTATTGACCAGCTAACCTGGGTTCGGTATACTTTATACACTTTATAAAAAGGCAAAACACAAAAAGGTGTAATATAATGTGCAATAAAAGTGTCTGTATCAGAATAAAAAAACACATCTAGTGGCTAGCACTATTTCACAAGCGAAAATCCTTTGAGGTTTTACAAATTAAAACAAAACTTTGATATTTTCACCAATTAATGTTTAGATGTGCACATATATATTGATTCATTATTGTTTAAATCTATATTTTGTTAATTGTCAATGACAGAAGATGTTGGTAACCATCTCACCTGTGATGGGTTTGCCTCCAATGATTCTTTTCTGAGCCATTTTGTTCCTCCTGTTTGAGCGTGTTGCCTTTTTCTTTTCTTGCTCCATTTTGCTTCCATTTTATAGGTCCTAATTTCTGATACTTTGGCTATGCAACAGCAGGATGATTCTGGGCTAATTGTCTACAACTTGCTTAGACTGGTTTATAATGAGAAACATGGTGGAGGATATTTGAATGGATGCAGTAGGGTGCGTAAAGGTGCAGGTAGAAATGTGTGTGTGAGAGGGGGCCGGGGGGTTGTTTGTGGGTGGGTGTGTGTGTGTGTGTGTGTGTGTGCGTATATGGCAGTGGAAAAAGGTCCTTCTTCATCTTGATTGAATTGATTAATAAAAACAACACTTTTCAGTCTGCGTTTTAGAGGGTTTTACAAATTTGATGCGAACGTCATTGATGACCACCTGGTCTCTCCATGAACCGTGCGTCACTTAAACTTAGTTTGTCAGATTTACCAGGGGAAAGATATACATTTAAAAAATAGAAGAAGAAGAAATAGACGCATGTAGAAATGGCTACAGTTAATTGAAATCATGACCATCGCTACTCCTGAGGGTTTTGTCATTTCCTCCATTTTTGTGTCATTTACAAATAACAGCTATCACTTCAGATGCCACGTTATCAAATTTGCAGCTGACTCAATCATTGTGTTGCTCCTCAGCAGTAAGATCTGTGTGGCTTCTCAAATTGGCTTCCTTTTAAAAAGTAAAGGGGAGAAAAAAAATATTCTCTCAATAAAAAAATGCTTACAGGGATCTCTTCAATTTTGCTCATAGTCAAACCTTTTTATAAAATACCAGTCATTGTTTTTTGTTAAGAGTTGTGAGCCACTGGTGTTGTAGTGGAAAATTTTAAATGATTTATATTTATAAGAATGTTTTATCATTATCTTTAACGTGTCTGTTTTTAAGTTTACTTTTATCTGCTGGCATGGGTCACTTGTAGATGTATGGCGTAAGACTACTGGCAAATTACTGGGTGTGGGTCAAATGTATCCTGTGCCTTGTTAGACAGGACAACATGCACCCTTAAATTTGATCCCTGCATTAGAGGAGAGGTGAAAACAAGGCAACCGGCTAAAGTTTAGTCATTTTTTATTATGAGAACTACGAGGAAGTAATCCACTCTTTCATTACCACTTGTCAAATTGCTAAAATGGACTTTATACAGGGTTCAGTCCTTCCATCTTTTAAGTGGAGGAAGAGCAAGAGCATAAATTACTATCTTTTAGCCAAGCTGCACTAGTAAAAGTACATTTTAGGAGTAATTTCAAATTCCTCTCATTGGTTTTTGAAATATTACATGGTCTTCCCAGCTCTGCCCCCCTTTGCTGTTTCATCGTTTTACATCCTTCCACTCTCAGGTCAGCAGACCATCCCGAAAACTAAAGCTAATCTTTGATAGGTTCTTTGCTCATTGTGGAATGAGCTGCCTTTTTTGGGGAACAGACAGCTTTTAAATCTCTTCTATCTACCCATCTATTCTCCTTGGCTTCTGACAACATCTGAGATCTAGATTTTTTTTAATTAACATAATTTCAATTGCTCTTTTATTTGACCTTAAAATGGGCTAATACATTAATTTCATTTTTAAAGTACAACTGAGAACAAATATCATCTAAAGGCACTGTACAGAGGCATTTAAATGACATTATTCAGCCAGATTTCTAAGAAGTTTTCTATATAAGGAAAACCAGCTGATTGCGTCCAGTCATTAACTTTGCATGAATGAATAAGCATGTTGCAACATTAGATGTTTGCTGGCATTGTGCCATCTACTCTACAGTAATCCCTCATACTTAGCATGCATGCAGTGATGGTGGGAAAATAACTCTCTATTAACAAGAAGAAATCTCCAGCACAACAAGGCAGAGAAGGGGTTTGGGCGATGACGGGGCTGCTGGCCAAAGTCCATGCTGTGAACGAGCCGGAACATGATCTCAGCCGTAAGCTGGATGCAATGGAACGCAAGCTGGCTGCAGTTGTTGAAATCAAAGGTGAGATGAGATAAAATTTTGAAATGTGCATGCACGCTTCAAGGCGGAAAAAGCCCAACAAATTCCAAGTATTGGATTAGCCATTGGAGCCCAGGAACAAAGACTTCAAGGCTGACAAAAAATGTTGTGCAGCTTGATCTCAAAGCAAAAGTGTATTTTGCATTTCGGCCTCCCTCTTATTAAAACTCCCCTCGATATTATGTCGAAGGGCCCAGTTTTTAAGTCACTGACCTGGCCTCTACTCCTGCAGATTTTCCAGTGAACCCCCTGCAGCAGAGAAGCAGCTGCACACTACATCAAAAAACACCTTTTTGAATATACGCCTATCTGAATTCTGGGTCCTATGTTCTGAGCCTTTTGAGACCAAGATCATGACAGGTTTAAATGGGTAATAGCTAATGCACATGTTTTTATAATAAGCAAAATACGGAAAACTATAATGCATGTAAACTTGCCTCATAAGAAAGAGAAACGCATTTTTGCAGATCTTGTTACCTCAAATGCAGTGATTATTACAGGCACTTATTTTTCTTTGCTGGAGTCTTTCTTTTGGAGGTAACAGTTTTGGAATTTTGCACTGTGCATCTATTTGCCTCTAAATGTTCAATGGTGCACATATCCTGCTAATCTCTTCCCGTAGATAAAAAATCGAACCCTATGTTGTACAGTACATAATGTATGGGGAAAGCTTCACATTATTAGTGAATATTGATACACCGGTCATTTTTGTTGCCTAATATCATCAACCTTGCCGCCTGTGTTGCTTGCACAGTAGGGACTGTCCAAGCGAAAACTGCTGTAATAATGAGATGCTAACTCATTATATTGAGATAGTAACTCAATTTATCAGCCAGGAATATGTTTAAGTACCCTGCATTAATGAATACAGTTTCATTTTGTTTGTTCTGCCAACATGAACTGGATCATAAATTCTTTATAAAGGAGAAGATATTTGCCGTTATTTAGCTGTTCTACTGTAGTGTCTGTAGATAAGATCTTAAATGAACCTAAAAATCAGAGAAGTGTTGCTGTTTTCCAGTTACTAACTTGCTAAACATCCCAGTTACCTTAGTTAACCCGTTGTTTTACAATGAATGAATCAACTGTTTGAAGATCCTTAAATTCTTGGGTTGTGGGCATCTGTTTGGAAAATAATCTTGCATTTGATCTGGATGAGTCAATATAAGTAATTTGATTGGTAAAGGGAAGAGCAATATTCATCAGTACTTGCAGGCAAGGGTGTAACTTCAATCAGTGAAGGGAAGTTTACACATTGGCTGTGTGCTGGTGTCACCACAGATAACTCAACCGTCCTCCAGGATATAGACCTGAAGATCAGAGGTGTCACGTAACAAAGTACAAGTACTGTGCTTAAGTGCACTTTTTAGGTATCTATACTTTACTCCATTACTTATTTTTCTTCCTACTTCTGACTTCTACTCATTACATTTTCACACAAGTACTTCCTATTCCTTACATTTTTAAAACAACCGTTACTCGTAACTTTTGGCTTCGGTTTAATGCAGAGATCAGGTATTAGCGGACCGCGGACAGATGTTATGCAGAAAAGTGCATCCCTGTCGGGATATGCATCCCCAGTCGCGGGAGCGACTCTTGTTACATTAATGATATAAAAACATTTAAACATACATCTCGTGGGGGAAAAATGTTATTTGGCAGATTCATTTACAAAAGTACGGGTGTTATGAACAACATTAAATCTTTGATTTATTTGTTGTAGTCTCTTGTTATTCACACACATCAATAAAAAGTGATAGCCGACGTGAGTTTGGAAACTGCAAAGCTTTGAAAATAAAACGTGCTTCTACACAGACCGGTGTGACGCATTCACCAGCGTCAGATAGCTATGGTGCATTCAGGAGCATGGGACATTTTCACACTTACAAAAGAGACATAAATGGAACAAAACTTAACTCATACAATAATGTATTTTATTCAGAAACAGTTTGGGCTTTCTTACAATACTGAATGCTCTATAATTGTATTTCTGTTATTTTTTGATAATGCACATCCTCTAGCTTTTTATTCTAAAAAAATCTATAATATTACAGCAGCAAATTATAAAAGTTTTTCAAAACTTGTTTAAAAGCTCCAAATGAGGTTTCAGATCATACAGCGACGATTACACTGTCATTGTTTAACATATTCTCATTATCAGTGCGTATGAAATCGTACGAAAAGTTATGCAAACTATTTCGTACGTTTTGGACGTTTTTCTTCAAAATACCTCATCAGTGCGCATGCACTGGCAGACAGAAAAAAAAAGCTGATCCGCGGACGGACGTAAAATTGGGAAAATCAGTGCAATCAGCACTTATTCATGTCTCTAACTACGTTGCTTGCTGTTTTATATCTTAGGGTTAGGGTCAGGGTTAGGGCTAATTGTAGTTTATATTCTATATTCGTGAAAGGTGCGTCAAATGCGCATGCGCATACGACGAAAAAACGTCCAAAACGTACGAAATTACGGTGCATAACTTTTTGTACGATTTCATACGCACTCATAATGAGAATAGGTTGCATTTTTTTACAGGGCAGAGTTTGCATTTGCTGTCCCTTGTCCTTTAACTATGGATATACAGGAACACAGTCATACAAGTGTCTACTCCTCTGAGATAGCATGGGATGCCATTTTCGGCAAGGACCTAACAAAAAATGCATCCCGCTTGTTTTTAACTTAAAAAATGTCCCAAACACATGAAACCCGCACTGGTAGTTCAGATCAATCATCAGTTACAAGTTTATATTTCTGTAAAACAGCATAGGATGCAATTTTTTGGCAATTTCTATATATATATATTTTTTTTTCATTCAATGTATAACATGAATGCATAAACACCTAGTTTTATTTCAGTGTTCAATCCTGTTTAAAGTAACATATCATTAATAATGTCTCCGGACCTAAACTGGTTGATGATTTTCTTTATTTGGATCCTGCTGGCTTTTAATTGGTTATCCCTGGTTTAATGTTTATAAATATTTATTTCACGTCATGTACGTCATCCAATGCATCCACATTTAGTGATGGATGAGTCA